AACTGTTAAATTAGGACTAGTCATAAAGTAAATTTGAGATATCTCACATTTTGTTTTGAGTCGTCACAATTAAATTCAATATGTCTGTTTTTAAATGGAGGTATAAGATTTAACTAGTGAAATTACATTACAGTTAGATGAAGGTAAATAATGACTACTGTACTTTTGTTTTACGATATCTGCTAAAGAATTAGTCAGCTTTTCTGTTTTAGATGTCTTGAATTAACATCCTGACCAGTCAGAGAAACATCACTGATATGTTGAATAATAATTCTGTCCAGACGTCCCAGATTTAAGAAGCATTTTCAAATCTGCTCCATTTCCACCGTGGGGATGGTTGATGGCAGCACTTCAGCTCTTCAGGGCTGTTTTTATGTGCAGCGTGATTTGGTGGAGAATAAATGGGAAATTATTTTCGGATTTCTGAAGCCGTCTTCTCGTTTTAAAAGTTTTGTCTTTTTTTTTCTCTGCAGTTTGAAGAAAAACTGTTTCTGTTCCACAGGAAGCTCACGATGGAGAGGTGAACACCGTCCGGTTCAGCCCCGGCTCCCGTCTCCTAGCAACCGGGGGGATGGACCGCAGGGTGAAGCTGTGGGAGGTGGTGGCAGGTGAGCTTCACACAGTAGCGCCTCAACACTAAGCCCCGCCCACCTGCTGAAGGTCAGTGATGAGCTGTAAAAGGTCTGATTCCCACAATCCTCTGCTGCCTCCGGCTCCCAGCAGCTCGCTCTCTGCTCCCATCATGCTCTAGTCATGCAGCCATGGGCCCAGCAGCTGCTGACACACAGGATGTGACATCACACTGGGTGTGACATCACTGAGAGGCTGAGCTGAGAACCTGCAGCCTCCCTGTGATGTTGATCCAACATGACCAATCAGGAAGGAGCATCAGGAGGAAGAGGAGGAAGAGGGAGCTGATCTCAAGTTTTCAAGCTGAGACCTTCATCACCACTGTAATCAGATTACTTTACCAAGGAGTAATCAGTGGCGTAGGCAGCTGAAGGAGGCTCTGTAGATGGTGTCTTTCAATTACATGTCAAAATCAAAACCTAGAGGGGGCCACCGCAGGCTAAACCGTTTCCTGCTCTAACCCTGAACATCAGCTATGCTAACGCTAAAGCACTCAACCAACATGGGATTTATTGGGAGCTAATGTTAAACCAATATGAAATTTAGCATAAGCTAATAATGCTAATCCGCTAAACCAACAAGTTTACAAAGCAACCACGTAAATTGGCGCCATAGAGTTTAAACATTTTCAAAAGTTAGCTAAAATGCTAAATGAAAAATTAGCTCTGCTGTTTGTGCATTAGAAAAACGTTTGTGAGAAAAACAAATGTTTTCCCCAGAGAATCCACAACCTGAGCAGAGACATCCCCAACACATGCTCATCAAATGAGCAAAGTCTGGGTTATAACGGTTTTCTTGCAGGCCAGTCATGTTGACTGACATTCGACCAACCAGAACCTGTTTTACTGCCGCCCAATCACAGCGCAGCGTTACTGTGTGTGTTCAGGTCGCTGTGAGGCTAAAGGAGCTCTGACCGGCAGCAACGCAGGAATCACCAGCATAGACTTCGACAGCGCTGTAAGTCTGTTTCTGCTGGTCCCTGTTGCCATGGTTACCCTGGTTACCTGCTCTTGCTTACCTGTTTTCTTTTTTATCAGGGCTCCTACCTGCTCGCTGCGTCCAACGACTTCGCCAGTCGAATCTGGACTATGGACGACTACAGACTGAGGGTGAGTCCTGATTGGTCTAAATCATCATTGCTAACGAGCTTCACAGTGTGCATCAGGTGTGTGTGTTGAGCTGTCCTCACCTGTCTGACCTCTACCTGTCCCCCAGCACACCTTGACGGGTCACAGCGGGAAGGTTCTGTCTGCTCGATTCCTGTTGGACAACGCCCGCATCGTGTCTGGGAGCTACGACCGAACGCTCAAACTGTGGGACCTGCGCAGCAAAGTCTGTACGTCATCGGTCACACCTGTCCCCTCACCTGTCTCCACCTGTCCCCTCACCTGTCTCCACCTGTCCCCTCACCTGTCTCCACCTGTTCCCTCACCTGCCTCCACCTGTCCACTCACCTGTCTCCACCTGTTCCCTCACCTGCCTCCACCTGTCCACTTACCTGTCTCCACCTGTCCTCACCTGTCTCCACCTGTTGCCTCACCTGCCTCCACCTGTCCTAACCTGTCTCCACCTGTCCTCACCTGTCTCCACCTGTCCTCACCTGTCTCCACCTGTCCTCACCTGTCTCCACCGGTCTCCACCTGTTGCCTCACCCGTCTCCACCTGTCCTCACCTGTCAGGTATGAAGACGGTTTTTGCCGGCTCCAGCTGTAACGACATCGTTTGCACGGAGCAGTGCGTCATGAGCGGACACTTCGATAAGAAGGTCCGGTTCTGGGACATCAGGTGGGTTCTGATCAGAGGTGCTCATGTGATGAGCTGCTGAGACTCTGATTGGCTGAGCCAGGCTGACCCGGTGACCTGTGCTCTGGTCGTCAGGGCGGAGAGCATCGTGCGGGAGATGGAGCTGCTGGGCCGGGTGACGTCTCTGGACCTGAACCACGACCGCAGCGAGCTGCTGACCTGCTCCAGAGACGACGTGCTACAGATCATCGACCTGCGCAGCAACGCCGTCCGGCAGACCTTCAGGTGAGAAACCAACGCCCAGGTGGAACCAAAGATCCTGGGGATGTTTTCATCTTTGAATTCGATGGTAAACTTCAGCTGCATCAGGATTCTTCTCACGCTGGTTTGGGCCAAATATTACAGAATTAAACAAACGTGAGCAAAACATCAGAAACTTAAAGATGGCGCCTTGAATGACCAGTTTAGACGTTCGATTTGGAGTTGAGTTACTCTTCATCACAGCTGTTATCACAGTCATCATCATGATGTGGACTGTGTGTGTGTGTGTGTGTGTGTTCAGTGCGCAGGGGTTCAAATGTGGAGCCGACTGGACCAGAGTCACCTTCAGGTGAGCTGAACGTCAGAACGGTTCTGATAAACGAACAGAACCGCCGTTAACCTGCCCGGTTCTCTCTGCTCAGTCCTGACGGCAGCTACGTGGCCGGCGGGTCAGCAGATGGCGCTCTCTATGTCTGGAACGTCCTGACGGGGAAACTGGACCGGACTCTGGACCGAAACCACAGGTAAGAACTGGACCGGACCGGGTTCTGCTGGATCAGACCATCTGTTGTTCACGCTGACGATGTCATCGCCCCGCAGCTCGGCCATCAACTCTGTGTCCTGGTCGCCGTCGGGAACGTACGTCGCCAGCGTGGAGAAGGGCAGCAGAGCCATCCTGTGGTCTGACATGTGATTGGCCGGAGCCCAGGAAGGGGGCGGAGCCAACACGGCCGGGGCTCTGGACTCCTAATGAAGCTGCTGAGGAGCTTTTAATGTTCAGTTGTTTTAACTGTGACAGAAGAAGAGCGGGCTCTGAGCGCCACCTGCTGGTTGACGGTTGAATGGACAGCTGATGAAGGCTGAGGAAGAGGAGGAGACGTGTTGTTTGAAACAGGAAGTTCTTCACACCAAACAGATGAAGATTAAAGACTCTGAGAGTGAATGTTGGCCTGTTTGATACACACACACACACACACACAGCTGCTGAAGTGCCTCTGAGCGTTCCCGGAGCGATACTGGGAAAGCTGCCGGTTCCTTCAGAAGCAGCCGCTGAAACGTTGCCATGGAAACGGCCTGATCAGGTTTCATTCCATAAACACTAATCGGTCTGTAGTTTTTCTGCTTGTTTCTGTTTTCAGTTTGCTGGGAGACATTAAACCCAAACCTCCTGAAACGAGCCGCTCACGCTGCGTTTACTGACCACTGGGAAAAAGAAACCATGTTTCCAGCTCACGCTGCGTTTACTGACCACTGGGAAAAAGAAACCATGTTTCCAGCTCACGCTGCGTTTACTGACCACTGGGAAAAAGAAACCATGTTTCCAGCTCACGCTGCGTTTACTGACCACTGGGAAAAAGAAACCATGTTTCCAGCTCACGCTGCCTCTGCTGTAGCTCTGCAGAGACACAAACCTTCAGGTTTTCAGGCGCTCACTTCTCAAGATGTTCTGATTTCCACCAATCCTCAGGTCTTCTGCTGGGTCCTGACGGGTCGGGTTGACGGTCCGGGAACCCGGCGCCGGCTCTGGGAGCCTCTCTGGCCGCCTTACTGTGTGGGCTTCTGATTGGTTGAAAAGTCATGAAGCTTCTGATTGGTTTCAGTTTCTTTCCCCAGTTTTTATTCATCCGTTAAGGAGCCTCAAACATGAATGTTTCAGAAGGTAAAATTGAAGGTTTATTAGGAGAATATGTGTGCAGAATTATTCAACAACTAAATGAATAACACATTTTCTCATTACTTTTTTATTTTTGTTTTAAATGATGATTACAAACTACTCAAAACTTTCCACCAATCATTTCTAACATTGGTGGTATAAATAGCCGCCTGACTGACTGTCAGGAAGCTCAAACTGCAGAACCGCGGTCGGGTCCGTTGGCCCGGATCAGAACATGAACACGACTAACATCTGAATCTCTG